CTCAGGTGGGGGTGATCAAAGAGTCAGCCCACGAGTTCATGTCAGAGACAGTCCCTGTTCCTATTATTGGGGAACCCTCTTGGACACTGAGCTGCCATGGGCTACTTCTGTGCAGGGGTTCTAAGTTATCTCTATGCACGGTCCTTGTTTGGAATATCAGTCTCAGAAAAGACCCCAGTGACAAGATTTTGGGGTTCTGCTGCTCTCCTTGTGGAGCTCCTGTTCCTCCCTCCAGGTCTTTCTATCTCCCCCTGCTTTCATAAGATTCTCTGCACTCTGCCCAAAGTTTGGCTATGAATCTCAGCATATGTTTTGATACCCTGCTGGGTAGAGTCTTTCAGAGGCCCTTTGTGGTAGGCTCCTGTCCTGTTCCCTGTTTTCGCCCTCTTCTGATGTCTGTCTCGTTTGCCTTTCTGAATGAAGATTGAGCATCTTACCCAGAGTCCTACTTCTTGATTAGCTTCCTTAGGTGTACAGATTTTAGTATGTTTATCCTATATTATATCTCTAATATCCACTTATAAGTGAGTATATACCACGTGTGTCTTTCTGCTTCTGGGATACCTCCCTCAGGATGATCTTTTCTAGTTCCCACCATTTGCCTCCAAATTTCACGATTTGTTTTTAATTGCTGAGTAGTATTCCATTGTGTAAATTGAACATGGAATTTACCATGTACCACAATGTCTATATCCATTCCTCAACTGAGGAATATCTGGGTTCTAAGATCAACAATCAATAAATGGGACCTCATGAAACTAAGAAGCTTCTGTAAAGCAAAAGACACTGTCATCAGAACAAAATGACAGCCTACAGATTGGGAAAGGATCTTCACCAACCCTATATCTGACAGAGGGCTAATATCCAGAATATCTAAAGAACTTAAGTTAAACAGCAACAAATCAAGTAACCCAATTAAAAAATGGGGGAAAGAGCTAAACAGAATTCTCAATAAAGGAACATCGAATGGCAGAGAAACACTTAAAGAAATACTCAACATCATTAGTCATCAGGAAAATGCAAGTCAAAATGACCCTGAGATTTCACCTTACACCATCAGAATGGCTAAGATCAAAAACTCGAGTGACAACACATGCTGGAGAGGATGTGGGGAAAGAGGAACCCTCCTCCACTGCTGGTGGGAATGTAAACTTGTACAACCACTTTGGAAATCAATCTGGCACCTTCTCAGACAATTGAGAATAGCACTACCTCAAGACCCACCTATACCACTCCTAGGCATACATCCAAAAGATGCTCAAGTATATAACAAGGACATTTGCTCAACCATGTTCATAGCAGCTTTATTTGTAATAGCCAGAAGCTGGAAACATCCCCTCATCTCTTAAGTAATGGCCACAATTCCGAGTGGCCACTGTCCCCCCCAGCTGCCCCCTCTCAATTGCCAGCTGACTCAGAACAGCAGCTATTTATCAGGGCTCGTGGTGCTTGGTACACTCTGAATTAAAGCAATGGTTTTTAACTAGGCAGGACAAAAAAAAAAAAAAAATTAGCTCATGAAAGATTCAGCCTAGATTGCATGTTTTCTGTCCCAGCATCGCTGCAGAGGAGATTTTAAGGGCTTATGCATCTCCACTCCACTTACCTCTAGATTGCAGCTTTCCATTAAATCAGTTAACCTACATTTGTCACAAAACAGTGCAGTGTGTCACTGACCCACTTTGTTTCATTTCTTTGCCAGTCGATGACATTCACATGTCACTACAAATTGCATTTTTAACTAAAGAATTAAATATATTTGCCCAGGATTTACTCAAGTGAGCTTGAAAAGCATTAGGATTTACCCGCAGGTTCTATTGCCTAATCCACTGAAGTGGCTTGGAGCAAACAGCGTTAGCTTTCTCCACAGACAACCCTGTCCATTAAACGAAGGTGCAGGACGAAGAAGACCACTGACAGGAAGCTACTATCCACTCCACTGCTGTCAGACGGAACCACACAGGACTACGGCCAGGTTCTTCAAGGAAGGACAGGTGTCCAGTCACCATCACAATATAACAAACCAACTGGCTCGAACAAGACGTCATGGCTCGCACTGAGAGTAGGCCTGACAGAGTTCACAACACCCCAGGAGACAAACCTTTGTCCTAGAGTCCATTTTTAGACTAATGTGCACAAAATATCCTTTTTTCTAGACTGAGTTGACTGAGGTAGGGAGGCTCAGCACATCCCGGCAGCATTCTAAAGGAGTCCATCCTGGGCTAAATAAGAGGAAGTGTGCAGAGCAGCAGCATTTCTAACTTGTTGGCTGTGGATACAGTGCGGGCCCCTGCTAACCCTGCTGCCAAGCAACTTTAACTTCAAGCTCTGCGCCCAACAAGAAAAGTAACTAATATAGTAGAGAAACTAGTTTACAAACAGTCCTGGAAGTCAGGAATTCCATGTTCGATTGCTTCCGGGGCTGGTTTCTGGGGCAGGCCTTCTCTCTTGACTTGCAGTCTTCTCCTCCCTCAGTTCTCCCACGGCCTCTCCTCCACTCACACTTCACAGGAGAAGATCCTGTGAGTGAGCCCTCTCTTTAGAACACCATCCCAACTGGAACAAGCCCCATCTTTGTGATTTCACAAAGCCTGAATTTTCACTCCAAGACCCTATCACCAACACAGTCCCAGGGCCTCAGCATTGTGTAAGGGGAAGAGATGGAAGAGGAGAGGAAGACATGGTTTACTCCATCATAGAAGAGAATCCACTCAGCACTCACAAGATGCTGATACCTAACCCCTCAGACACTGAGGAGGAAAAGGTTTTCTTCTTCCCATATACAGGGAAGTTAACATGTGAGAGTGAAAAACCATAGACTTCTGGTACAAGCTTACTTACAAAACCCCAAGCTCACATTGTAATCCCCAGCATGCCTCAGAATGCGGCCTTATTTGAAAATGGAGTTATTTTAGACATAATTAAAAGGAGGTCATACTGGAGTAGCGTGCCATCCCAATGCAATACCACTGGTACCCTTATATAGAAGGAGAATTTGGACATGGGCATACAAGGAGGCTGCCATACAAAGAGAAAGGCAGAAACTAGGGCAATGCGTCTGCAGACTGAGGAAGGTGGCCAGCAAAGTTTTAGAAGCTAAGAGAGAGGTACACAACAGACGATCCCTCAGGCCCTCGGAAAACACTAACCCTGGCCTGTGGTATCATACAGGTTGGACTTTAGGACCCCACAAATGAAAGAGGATCCCTGATGCTAAGGCCACACAGGTCTTCCAGAAACACCTCCCCTGATGCAGCTCCTAACTCGTCCTTCCCAGGGAGGAGGGCAAGCATGGTCACACTACCCAGCACATCCCAGCCCTGTCTTCCGGAGCAGACCAGGCTGGGCCTCACCCTCTTCTCCGCCCTGCTCTGGCAGTCCTCAACATGAGGAGGCTGGCAGACAAGCCCATCTGCTCTTTGCTTCTAAGCCTGCTCTCCAGCTAACTTTATAATAAATCTCAATATTTTGACCTCCATCTGTCTGAATTTTGTGTTAAATTCATCAGTTGGCTCTAAAATCCAGGAGGGCAAGGAGGCAATTAATTAATCATCACTCAAACTCCGACAGTGTCCTTCATTCACACAGTGTCATCCTCATAACGCCCTACCCCATATACAAGACATTTGTCTCTCGATGCTAAGGTATAAAGGTGTCTCCCAAACTTCAAGTGTTGGAAACTCCCTTCTCAAGTTTATATATTGATGATATCTACATGTGAGGTCTAGGTGAAATCATCAGGATTTCAGTCTCCCATAATGCCAACTTATACTCTTGGACTTCCCAATCTCCTGAACCATAAGCTGAAGAAACTTCTGTTTTTTTTGTTTTGTTTGTTTTTCCAGACAGGGTTTCTCTATATAGCCCTGGCTGTCCTGGAACTAGCTTTGTAGACCAGTGTGGCCTTGAACTCACAGAGATCCGACTGCTTCTTTCTCCCAAGTGCTGGAGCCACCATGCCCTGAAACTTCTTTATAAATTACCTACTGCCAGTCATTTTGTTATAACAACATAAAATACAGTAAGATACCTGGCTAGCCAGGTCTATTAAGATTTATTAAGGCCTATTAAGCTGGAAATCAAGAGTCCAGTTAAGGTACTATAAACAGAAAATCCTTTATCCTTTCAATAAAGCCTGAATCTGGGGAGATGATACCACGAATAAACTGCTAGCAACACATGCATAATGTGATCAATCCCCCAGAACCCCTACAAATAGCCAGGTATGGGAGCACACACTTGTAATTCCAGGACTGGGAGGAAAGCTGAAGGATCCTTAGGACTTGGCGGCCAGCCACGCTAGCCCTTGGAGACAATCTCCAGGTCCTCATGAGAGACCCTACCTTAAAAACCAAGATGGACAGCTCCTGAGGAATGACACCCAGGGTGACCTCTGGCCTGCCCACACATGCACGCAAATGTATACTTGCATCTGTACATACTTGCAAAATTCCCAAATGTACAAAGAAAAGTAATAAATAAAGAAACAGTGTTAACAATACAGTAACTCAAGGAGAGGGAGAGTGGTGTCTCCAGCAAAGGTGTAGGAAGAGTCCAGTTCCTTGCTGGTGACAACCATCAAGGCTACAGTAGGCCTGGGCTTTCCAAACCAAATGGAGGTCAGTCACATGTGAGAGTAGCCAAGAGAAACAAGGTGACTATGCAAGGAGAAGCTGAGTATTCTGGACTAATTTAAGTATAGTCCTACCTGGCCAGCAGCCACTTCGGTGTGGCCAGTGTTTGTCGGCCTGTAGACTTCAGCAAGCTGTCACTGCAAAGGGGAGGGCATAGTGGAAACACCACTCCATGCTCACACCATTTCCTTCTCCTACCCTTCTCTTCTTTCCTTGTACCAGCCAACAGTCTAGACTTGCTGGTCACAGGCAGCGTCTTGTGACTTCAGAGCTTGAGAAAACTGAGTGTTTTGAAATGACCAGATTTAGAAACCCAAGTCCAAGCAAGAGAAGAGAGAACTTGAGAAGAGAGATGCATTAACTTACCTCACAGAGCAACAGAGGACCTCGGCACACTGCTAACACGACTTCTTCCCAGATCAACAGGAAGCTCTATAGTTCAAGAGCTGAAATAAAACCAGCAAATTACAAAACTCTTTGACTGACTAGCCACAGAGCCAACACGATGGCTGCAGAGAAGGAAACACATGCTCAAGATGCATCCAGAAGAGAGGAGGTGAATAGTCAACATGCGACTGGACTAAATGGATCAGTATAAGAAGTCAAGTCCATTTCATGGAGGCCTTTGGCAACTTGAAGAACGCTCTAGGAAAAGGCAGACAGGAGGCAAGGATATGAAAACCTCCATCCATGCCCTTTCTGGCAACAATAAAATCTAATCTGGCCCCTACCCCCTCCAGAACCTTCCTTTCTTGGGGGATCTGACCCCATTTACATTACAAACTGGTTGTGCTCACGGAAGCTTGATACCAAACTCAAGGAGATTGCGATGGACTTACAAGCTCTCCAACTCTAAACAGCAGCTGAGTGTCCCACAAGCTCAGAAACGCTGAGGGGGAGATAAGATAACTCTCAGAAGGCAAGGGTTCAGCCCTACTTCAGAAACAAGCTACAAGGTCAGTGCAGTGAGTGACTATAAGTCCAAGGGTAATCACATACCTTCCTCAGGCTCAACACTCAACAGAACACTCAACAGAACTCAGGAAAAATGCTCACAGCCACAGGTATAGCAAAAAGGATCTAACTCAGGACTGGCCAGGGAATATATGTGCATGGGGGAGAGGAGATAATAAGTTAAGAGAAAAGGGATGCTGGTTTTCCATGCCTTTTCCCATACAGCACCCTCCCAGCATCCACCCAGAGCCTCCAGAATCCCAGTATCCACTGACCTTTCAGAGGTCCCATTATAAACAAGTCATCAGCCGTTGTGATTAGCCCAATTTCCAGCCTCTCTCCCTCCCTGAAGGAGAGGATGGAGGGACAGTTTTAGCCTCTGAACACATTTTGGTCTCTGTAAAGACAAGCCATATTCTGAAGCCAACCAGGCCAACCATCTCATTAGCATACAAGACAAAGAACATTCTAGCAACCCTAAGCCAGGACCCAGGACAAAGGCCGAATCTGTATTGCTCATGACATAAGCTTGAGAAATTCTGCTCGAACACAAATCCAACGATCTGACCTTCTTGTCACCTGGGCAAACCAGCCTGGCATGTTCGAATCCAGGCAGGCTGTGCAGCCTTCCTTGGTGTGATGATGGCTTGGGTGGGAGGGGGAAGGCACGGGAGCCATTCGCACAGCAGAAGGGTGGCGCACAGGCTGCCATACAGGGACACTCCCACCCACCACCCATGTGCATCTGGTAAAGGCAACTGGAAGCTCTGCCAGTCCTCAGCAGAAGCAGAAGCATCCCCAGTCAAGGCCAGTCTACTCTGAAAACATTGTGGGAGACCTTGGCAATGACTCAAGACTAGGACTTGTGGGCACCATTAATTATAGCAGTAATGAGCATCAGTTATTGAACAGGCCTGTGCCAGGCATTATCATTTATCCTCACCATTCTGAAGATGGTAATGACAACGCTGTACCTATTTCACAGATGAAGACAAAAAAGCGTAGGCGGCCTGCCTCGGGACATGCAGCTGGAGAATGATGGAGGGCATGGTCTGGGTGCTATCGTACCATGCCACCCTGCCATGCATCCCCTGACTTATGTTTAGAAAGGTGGTTTCTCCTGAACCACAGTAGGCTAAAATCAATGGGCCCAACAGCAGATGGCATAGCAGTACCCACTATGCTGGGACCAAACTCCCCCTTCCTTGTTTGAGGAAGCCAGAGGATCTGAAACTCAGCACACACAACTGCACCCCACGCCTCAACCCACAAGACTCGGTGTGTAAAAGGCAGAGTGAGTGGGTCCTGTGCCAAGAAGCCAGAGCCAGTTTATTTCCATCTCCGTGTTAAGACAGCCAGCACCAGGTTGAGGCTGAGAAATGCTCCTTCTAATTAAAACTTTATTTTCAAACACATGTCGAAGCTTCAACATGGTGAGCCTCGTGTCTGCTCTGTGGGTTTGGGAGGGAGGAGGAGCTACTTCCACTGACAGCCTCTCCCATTCTCTTCGGAGCACCCGAAGAATTTGTGAAAGTGTGTCTCATACATACTCAGGGCAGGAGAGAAGTCTAGAAAATGTTGAAGAGAATTAGAAAGCAAGGAGAGGAGAGACTGCAGTTAAACACAGTTGACACTGTAGCAGGCATTTCCTCCTGATGGGATATGCACTTCCGGTAAAGAGGCATCTCGGAAATTGACAGGAGCAGAAATGATGGCCCTCATCCCATCTGGTGGGAAAACAGCTCCGCAGGACTCCAAGCCCAACCGAGGAAGGCTTTGGACAAAGGACAGGACCCAGGATAGTACAGACCTGGCCACTGCTACGGCCTGGACGCTCCTGTTCCCCCAACGGTACATCTGAAGCCTCCAGCCAAGTGAAGCGGGGGTCTTTGGAGGTGATTAGGTCATGCAGTCGAGTTTTCCTACACGCAGTTAGCGCCTTGGGAGAGGCGGATGCCCTCACTGTGTCCCGCAGAAGGACACAGGAAAGGATGGCCATCTGTGAACAGGCAGCAGGGCCGGAACACCTGCGCGCTTCCTGGCCTCCAGAACCGCGTGGCTCTCAGGTCCAGTCTGTGGCCTAGCCTGCTCCATCAGCCTGCGGTAGTCTGTGTATGAAGTGTCCCCGAAAACGGCTCAGATGTGGACGACATTGCTGTGAGGTGATCAGAACACAAGCGGGACCTCGATGGTGGACTGGTGCGTGGACCAGTCTAGAACAGAGAGGCTGTTGGGTGGCAGGGCCTGGTTGGAAGAAGCAGGCACTGGGGGCGTGAGCTCATTTCTTCTGCCATATCTTTCTGCCGCAGGCCTGACAGCGATGGAGCCAGAGTGCCTCAGTCCTCCCTTTATGTATCTACCCGGTGTTTTTCAAAGCAGCAAAGAGCTGTCCAGCACAAAGAGACACCCAGGAACACTGCACGCCACACACCTGTCACTTCATGCCCTCCCTCTACAACGAGGCCAGGAGGTGCAGACGGAGCACAGACCCACAGGAGTGAGCGCATCGCACCCTGTGTCCTGCTGCCCAAATTAACCCCAGAGTCAGCACTGTGGGCAGCCTCCAAACCTGACACCCCTCTTGGGCAAGGACCTGACCCAACAGCAGCTCCAAACGCTGACAAAAAGGAATGAAAACCAACAAACTCTGAGGAACCCTCAAAGTGCAGGATGTAATGGGTTCCAAACCTCACCCACCACTTCCTAGTTCGGCTATGCAAGACTCAGCCACTAAATCCCTTCTCAGGGTCTGCCACAGCATGTCCTGCAATCTCAGTCCTGCTCAATCGGAGAGAAAGCCACTGTCCAGGACCCTCCATAGTCATGGACACCCTCTCACTCTAAGACTCCATGTTACAGGTTGTGTGAAGATCTAAACGTTTGTGTTTCCCCAAAATCCATGTTGAACCCCTACCCCAGAAAATGATAGTAAATGGGGTCTTTGGCAAATCAGATGTAAACACACACACACACACACACACACACACACACACACCTCCTTTCCTGTCTCAAAGACTTGGGTCTTTGAGAAATTTCATTAATCGGCTTTGGAATACTCTAGCAACTGATTTGAGTCAGGCTATTTTATTAGGAAAAGAGGTTTATTTGGGCTCTGGGTCTAGAAATGCAAAGTCTAGGGGCCTCATCTAAGTGAAGGTCTTTTTAGTGGCAATGAGAGTGGCATGGTAAGAGATGGGAAGAACACAAGCCTATGTGCATGTCTGTTCACGAAGCCACCAAGATCCACTCATAGCCCCACCCACCTGACCCATATGGATCAAACCCCCTCCTCTTAATGCCATTAGCATATAATTTTAAAGATTAGGCTACCGTGAGACACGAAGCCTTGGAGAGGGCTCAAGCCGTTTCCAAGCTACTACCGGGAGACCAGGCCATGTGGCTCTGAGGACTCAGTATTTGTTCTGTTACCAGGACAGAATCTATAATCCCCTGCGAAAGGAGTCTCTGCGGCGGACTGTCCGCACTGAGCTGGCCATTCAGGAATTGCCTTTTCCTGAGGTGGAAAGACCTACCCAACAGTGGTGGTGACAATCTCGAGGAAGGGGACCCCGGACTGAACAAAGGAGTGGAGAACCCGGACCAAACTGAAGGCTAGCATGGATTAATTCAGTGTTCTCCGTCCTTGACTGCAGAAGTAATACACGACAACCTGCTTCAACTTCCTGTTGCCTTGATTCCCACGCACTGATAGAATGTAAATTGGAATTTTGAACCAATAAAGCCTTTCTCCTTTCAAGTTGCTTTTGCCAGGGTATTTTATCACAACAACAAGAGAAAGAAAACAAACAAACTAGGATTAGACCCCAAAGAAGTAGCTAGTTCATGAAGACAGGAAAGGCCTGCACAGCTACAGATGGAGAAGCATGTCTTCACTGGGCCCCACATCTGCCGCCTCTTCATTGTGGTCCTGCACTTTGCAGCCTGTACTTCCGGGCCTTACTAACTACTCAAGTTGTGGTTTCCTGTTACCACAACCAGAACGGGAAGAGCCAGCAGGACAGTGAGCTGGAATGTTGCTTCTGGAGCAGTAGTTCTCAACCTTCCTGATGCTACAACCCTTTAACACAGTTCCCCATGTTGTGATGCCCCCCACTCATAAAATTATTTCATTGCTACTTCATAACTGTTTCGCTACTGTTATGAATTGTAAATATCTGATATGCAGAATACCTGATATCACCCCATAGGTTAAGAACTGCTGTTCTAGAGAATAAACAGGGAACACAGTGACAAAGTACATAGGGCACACCAGGAAGGCCACCGTTAGGGCCAGCAGCCACAGTGCAATGATGGATTCACACAGGAAGAGAAAATTAACAGCCAACAGGTACAGCAAACCATCTTCACAGAAGCCAGCTGCTCCTCAGTACCCGCCACGCCTGGTCCACCTGTTCCCAGGAAGCAGCCACTGGCACTTC